AACTCATTTGTATGATGGTATTTTTAACATTATGATTTTTGAAACAACTCTTACAGCTGTGTGTTATACTTTAAAAAGTGGCATCTATACAGCACAGGTGGAATATTAAACAATAATTATTTGACTGTAGTTAGAAAACTCTTTAAGCTGCTTATCTAACACTATTGCAAATATATTCATTTAGGGAAATCTGATTAGTCAATAGCAAAGTTTGAATCCAAGTGTATGTAATCAAATGGTAAAATGAGTTAATCTATGGATTGACAGAGAGCTTTTAGAAAAACACTGCTTCAGAGATACAACAGAGTGAACTTTTACCCCAGGATTAGAATGCTGTGCAAGCATATAATTCAGCTTCCCAAACTCCAAACATTGAGAAGTGTTTCTAGGGTATTTGCTGAGCTTATGCAAGACTCATTTAAATTCAAAGAGAAACACTAGAAAGATGAAATGAATCCCAGGTATTCTTACACTCCAGAAATAGACGCTTTAAGACATGAAGAGAATTAGTATTAGCAAGTGTACAGGAATCCTCTCTTCCCCTGGATTCGTCTTACTTAAGGGCATGGTTTTATATATATTGCTATGGTAGTTCTTTACTTCTAATTATATATAACATTCTATTCCAAACTCCTGAACAAAGTTTTGAAAGAAAGTTTGTTATAAAATCTGAGTGTTGGTGGATACTGCTGACAAACGCCAAAAAGCCTGGGGCATCTAAAACTTCTCTGTCTTCTGAGGGCTTATAAAATAGTTAAATATGCACAGACTCCTCCCCTCTCTTGCATTTTGGGTGATGGGGAAAATTTTACCAGTGATTGTGGAATAACTGCCCAAGAAACTGGGTGCTTACAATGGTCTTCACTGGGTTAAGGCTATTGATGAAGTGAATACAACTACTCAGCTATGAGAAAGGCTTCAAAGTATCTCCTGAAACTCCTAGAATTTAATAAAACTCCAGAAAAATAACAGTGCCTTCAGTAAAAGGAGGATTGGATCTTCTGCGTTCCACTGAGCTGTGCTCAGTGACTTGCTCTAATGGTTCTTCACCTCTAATCTTCAGTCCTTTCTTTCTCCACTGTCAAATTTTGAAATTTCTGAAATATTGGTTGTTGCTGATGACCAGTCAAGAATATTTTCTCATGTCAGTTACTGTGAATTCCACTGTTCTCTGAAGGAGTATTCCCTCGATTTCCAGGTGATTTCTGTAACATCTTTTCCCCACCTTGCATCTGGGAACTGCTAAAAATGAGCCTCTCCAACAGGAATAACAAAACTGTTTCTGCAAGGAACAAAAAAAGTCTTAAAATGGCCTTACTGTGTCTCAAGCCACCTGCTTTACAGGACTGATCTTTTGTAGTAACACAGGTGCAACAATATCTCATATTTCAATGCAGAGAGTGCAAGAGATTGCTCAAAAATTCATTGTTCCAAAACCCAAAAGAGAAAAACAAAAAAATCTGCAATAACTGAAAGGAACAACATGGAAGCTGGCTGTCAGACTGCCTGAGGCAGAAAGAAAGGCTTGGTATTACAGATAAAATATACACTATATAAAAATAAACAGGTGAAAATGACATTATAACAAACCACAGAAAAAAAGTACCAGAGCATACCTAGTAAAGAAACCCAGCTGCAAATCTGTGTTTTCCCAGCAATAAATGAGTGTATGGGGAGCAGAACAGACTCTAGCTTAAATAAAGGAAAACTATGGGATGCATTTAAAACTGGATGGAAATAAAAATAGATGAAAAAAGTATCCCAGTTTCCATGAAGACTTTGTGAGACAAATCACAGAGTTCTTCTTACAAATTTCCTTATTAGGACCTGCCGAAGAATTTAATAAATATTTTACTGTAAATGATAAGAAATGGATAATACAACTTCATTAAGGATTCCTTTCTCATAAGATGAAAACACCCTTAAATATTATGCATTTATTTACTAGAGGGAGACTGTGTGGACAAAAGTCATCTTTTTAAAAATTTTCTGTCCATGATCATATACAGAAAAGTGCAATTCTGTGAAAAGCTGGAAGGATACATGAAAAAAATTCCCTCAGTTTTCTCTAAAATATCATTTTAGGACTTCCCAGCAGAAGGGTGGGAAGGGCATGAACTGGTGGCCATCAGGGAGCCTTGCCAGGCCCTGGAAGTGCAGCAGGAGTCTCCAGAGAGCCCTTCCCAGATGTGTCCCTGGAGATCCACACCAGCACCACCACGGCTAAAGAGCCACGCTGTCATTTACTGCAGCACGAGCATTTCCCAGGCACAGAAACAGCCTCACAAGGGCTGCCCAGGAAGAAAAATCCATAGTGTTTTGTACATCTCCAGTGTTTTGCAGTCCCCAAGTAATACTCTCCTGCTACAGTGTCTGCTGTGCATCCCAGAGTCTCCGTTTTTAGCTGTCACACATTTTCTCAATAAAGGTTTTTCTTCACAGAAGTACGCTCCAAAAAAACCCCGAGCTGGAGCAATCATGTCACTGGACCTACTGTTTACCATTATCTTCAAGGTTTTAGGGTTGATTTACATTGTGTTCCTCCCTATTTGACTTTAATTGTCTGCTTCAAGTTGTCAGGACATAACTATATCTTAGATTTGCATTGCATTAGGGGATCTTCTCCTTTCTCTATTGATCTTGTCTTACGGAGTAATTTAACTCAATTCTAATTTGCCTGCGCACGCGGGGTGCTCTCCATCCAGGGAAGTGAGTTATGTGTATTCAAGTGGTGCATCTTATGAATCTTGTTAAGCTTTACCGCCTTCTAGCCCGCACTGATGGAATATTTAATCACAGAAATGAGTTGGCAGATTTGATGTACAATACGGGGAAGCCTCGCGGCTGCGGCGCCGCCGGCAATTGAGAAACGGGGGAATTTGCCATTCATCAGTGCCATCCTGACAGCTTTGTATAACCTTCTGTTTTTCACTTATTTATGAAGATTAAAGGTACTTTAAATCAACAGTTTCTCTGTAAATGTATCATCTTTATTTCAGAAGTGGCCAAATTTTTCATCATTTATTAAGAGTTAAAGGAACTTCTCGCACTGACTGTGAAAAAGTTGGTGCAGTTTTATCATGACAGTGCTGGAGACAATAAGCAAACTAAACAAGTAGAACTCTGTCTCAAAAAATCACATCTCTAATTTTTATCATCTTCAAATATTCAATTGCTTCTTCTCTAAGGAAGGTGGTGGAGGGAATCCAGAAGTAAAGGTAAGTCAGTGTGTTCTATTCTGACATGCAAGAACTGCGGTGTTGTTTTACTGTTTCATTTCCTAAAAACTTTAGGAGATCTGCACAATTATAACTAAATTGTTTAATAGAAAGTTTATGTGTTTAAATGTGAGAGATATTGTATTTTAGTCAATATAAATAAAATGCATTTGACATGCACTGAAAAACCCAACGAAACCCAAACATAAACCAGCCTGAATGTGTAAAGAGAAAAAAAAAAAAAACTAACTGAAACAAATTAAGTATCTTGATGGAACTTTCTGCAAAGGTGTGGTGGTGTTCATGTCATAATTCATAAAATTAAATTAATACTCTTCTAATGGTAATTAAAGATTCTCATTAAGAAGGGCAAACACCTCCCTAGTGCTGGCAATAAAAATGCACTTGGGACTTTAGGAGGTTATACAAAAAAATCAATAACCTGCCATTTTATAATTAAAAGACAAAATAAATGTTAGGGAAAAGTCCAGTAAATTAGGAAAATTACCTTCAGGAGAGATTGAAAATATTGATTTTAATTTACAAACTATGTGAACTCTTCATGCCCTACTTCATGAGACAATTATAAGTCAGATTGTTAATTCTGCATACGTATTAGAAAATTGATTACTATGCTACGGGAATATTATTATATTTGTCATTAACACAAAGTCATTTATATAACATGACTAATAACTCTGACTTTCTAATTTATGCAGGTTCAGGGTTGGTTCACTAACTACTCAAACGAGATCAATGTTAAATTCCTGTTTTCAACATAGACATACATCATCAAGGAAATAAATCCTGCCTGCACCAAGTACTGCAATTCCATGAATGACAAGTTAGTATTTTTATTACACTGTGCCACTTTTCCCCTAATTGGAAGAATTTTATCAATCTCAGTAGAAGCTGTTTTTTAACCAGAAATATATGTTTGTAATAGTGTCCTCTTCAACAGTTTTCATCTCTTGAAGTCACTCAAATTAACAAAAGTTTTTCAGCTTTGTCAACTGGAGACTCAAATATCTCCATGAGTGGAGATTCCCCAGCTTCTGCAGAAAAACTCTTCCCATGCTTAGCTACCACCCATGAAAAATGCTCTCCTGATGGCTGTTTGTGGGTAGCATTCAAATTCTTCTGGAATCAACTGGACTACAAATAAGTTTATTTTCAATTCTGTTCCTAAAGCATATTTAGAAACTACTGCTAGCTGTGACTGACTTCCAGCAGACAAAAACTCCAAGCTGTACCCAGAAGCAGAATCTGGTCTCAGTCAGGTGAAAATATAGATATAAAATACAAAAGCATCAAACTGAAAATCTAACTATAAAATGTAAAAAAAAAAAAATGCTCAGGAAAAATTTATGTTTGCATTTATTCTATACCTATGTATGTCTACATACATGTATGTACTATATATATATATATTTATTTATAGATAAGATTTTTTGGCTGTTGTTCCTTACTAAAGAATCCCTGGAAGAAAGTGACTGCACTAAAATACAAAATAAAATAAAATCTCATGTAGGATATTGCAGTACATTTAATGTTATACTATCTATTTTCCAATAAAAAAACATTCATATATCTTCTATATAAAGTTTATTACACCCAGCTAAGGTAAAATCTTGAATCACAAATGTATAAATGACTTATAAATAATGTGACTCACACAAAGAAAGTGAACCTCACACCAAACATGGATTCTGTACTTTTACATGTTTTAAAGAATACTAAAATGAAATATGGCCAGTGGGACAAAAATAAAGCAATCCTTACCTGCATAGAACTCTGGACTATAAACTGCACCAACAACTGGATTTAATTTCCAGCCTGCAGCAAACAAAAACATAACAGTTAATATTGCAATTAGTGATAATAATAACAATTATTATTATTACTACTATAAATACTATGATATAGAAAATACAGACAAAATTACTTCAAGAAAGGTCATTGTAATTCAAGTTTCATAGGCATCTTTGATTACTGATCGTTAATATCAGAGTCTGAGGTATGGAAATAAGTCATGACAGAAGGCATTCTGCAGCCATGTGGCACTGGAGTAAAGAGCCAGGTGAATTACCCTGGCTGAAATGCACATGGATTTACTCCCTGAAGCACTGGAATGAAGCCAGCACTAGCTCAGGTATCCACAGCCCCTAGAACAGGGCAGATGAGTTCTCAGCCATTGTTTTGGCTCTCTGGTTATGAGCCAGAGGAGCCAGGACAGCTCATCCTTTGGACACAAACATTTCTGATAAGCCTTTGCTAGTGAGGGTTATGGGGCAACCAAATAACTGGAGCATTTTGATTTTACCCTGGCAAAATGAAAGCACAGCCACAGCATGGAAATGCCTGTTGTAACAGGAAGGACAGGCTCTGTGGGTCCAGTCCAATCCAGGTCTCAAAGGGTACAAATCAGCCACTGCCTTGCTCTTAAATAATCACTGTCCTCCCAACACTGGCACAGAACCACAGCACTCACAGGTCTTCTGTACCTGTGCTCTGGCCAAACCCCAAATTATTGCTGACACTTCACACCTGGTGCAGCACTCCCAGGCAAGCCTGGAGCACCCAGGCTGGCTGCAGACACTGGGGGTGTGCAAAGCTTGGGGATGTTGAAGAAAGCCAGGCTGGAGGGATGGGAGGGGAAGGGGCAAGAGAAGAGCAAAAGAGCTGCAAACTCATTTGTGTTCTCAGCTGCAGTGCAGTGCCAATTCCTGTGGTTTGCTCAGCCACAGGTAGATCCACTCCAGGTAACTGCAAACTCCCCCCACTCACACTCTTTTTCCTTAAGTGGACAATTATTTTGAACTACTGGAACTGAAAAATTAGGGGTTTTCCTAAGGCACAATCTCATCAGAGGAGTGGGAAGCACTTTTAGTAAATGGGAATAAAGAAAAAAAAAACAAACAAACCCTGAGCAAAAGCATATTGTAAACTCCAGAGCTTTGGTACTTAAAATAGAACTTATAACTGCTTCTGAAATCAAAATACAATCCAGACACTGGCAACAAGGCTTTTCAAATCACAAAAGCCGAGATTAGAAGAATTTAAATGTACACTAGGTTTATTTCTGCCTTGGCCCTATCACGTAATGCAAAAGCACAGTGGGAAATCATAAAACATCAAGGCATTATGAGACTGAAAAAGTGCAATGAAAAATCTCAATAACAAAGTATTCCCACCCTTTCAAGCCACCCCTATCTCATGCACAATAACTAATTCTCAGTAATTAACTGCTCAGTAAGAGAGGGGAGGGGTGGTTTTGAAAGGCAACTCATGAGCAAGTTCAGAGTAAGCAGCTCTGCATGACACCTTTTCTGTAGAAGCGACTGCAGCTGCTCTGTGTACTGGGAAGACAGTTAGGGAAGCTGGAAAATGCCCAGCCAAGAAGGGCTAAAAAGTTTTTCCTCCCGAAAATACCACCTGAGTTTTACCTGATCCTTCAATTTTAAATTCCACAGGATTATATTTAGGAACATCAGAGTGCAACGTATCTCTTAGCCAAATTTTGTGTGACAGAAAATCATTCAAATTTTGAGCCTTTGGGTAAAAATCTAACTTTATATATGTTAGGGAATACCCAATATTTCAAATTCAGTACTTCCTCAGAAGACCACTGATCAACACCACCCAAAATGAAAGATTGGACAGAATTTTAGATCTGTCAGCTTTTGCTGTCAAAGCAGCTGACAGACATCTCTCAGCTTCTAAGTTACACTAACAGTGCCACAATTTGTCTGAGGGAAAGAAAAAAAAATAATCTTGGAAGACACAGATTGTTCTTCACAGCTGAAAGGCAGTCTCATATTTCAGCTCCTTACCACTCTCCCAGTGACGGCTATCTCATCTAACTTTTTGAAGCCTATGGAGGAAATACTTCATTGTGAAAATAACAGTAATTAAACTTAACTTTATCTTGTCAGCCAACAATGTGCTGGCCCATAGCTGTGTGGGTTAATCAAGTGTGATGTGAGTTGATGTATCCGAGCGAGCAGCTGCCACGTAACCCTTCTGCAGCAGCTGGAGGAGGCAAATTCTCGGCTGTGGGTGTAATTCTGTGCATTTTTCTTATTGTCACAATATTAATCTCCTTCTTGAGTTGAAACTGTAAAAGCTTGAAACTTAAAAACCAGCCAAGGAAGGAAAAAGCCCTCTGCCTGACCCAGCCCCCTGGTTATCCAGAGCAGCACATGCCCAGTGTACAGAGGGAAGGAAATGATCCTGGGGTAACAAGCTCTGGTACAAAACAGGGCACAGCAACACAGAGAGGATTATTTTTGCAGAGAGGCCACCATGGCCAGAGAAAGACTTGGGTAGGAAGGAACTCTGTGACTGCATTTCCCTCCCTCCTGTTTGCTACCCAGGGAGGGGGACAGAGAGTGGGAGAGGATTTAACTGTGCTAATAGGCACTAGATTGATTTTGAATCTAAATTTAGGGCAACAGAAGGCTCAAGTCCAAAGCACCACTAGTGTAAACTTTAAAATATATTTATCCTTTTACATATCTCTGTTTCATGTTCCTCCTTTATTGCCGCAGTTCTCTGAATGGACTTGCCCATAATTCTCTGTACCCTACAACCCTTGGATGAGCATCTGGAATTACAATATGGGCATCAGAGGAAAATACAGCTGTGAACAGGATGGGTTGGAACATCTGAAAGTGTCTCAAATATTTTTGACAACATGTAGTGCTCCTGACACTGAATTTCTTTGCAAAGAGAAAGCAGTTGTACCTCCAAAGCATGAGGTGAGCCATCAAAATCATCCTGACTGATAACAAACCCATAAAAAACCTCTCCCAGCAACTGCTCATTTGGGGAGTCAAAAGTCACTGGAAAGCATACTTATTTCAAAGACCATTTAGGACACAAAAGTGCACCACTTATTTGAACAAAGCTGTATATATTTAAAAAAAAAAAAAAACCAACAAGTTTCTGTGCCTTGAAATCTACTGACTTCTGCAAGCCTATTAACAACATAAGCCCTGTTATCAACCAACCAGCTGTATTCAGGAATGAAACACAAAACAGAGCCTATCTTGTTTTTAAATTAAAATAAATATCAGTTCCTGACGTTTTGATAGATTACAACATGTGCCCCAACTACCTTTTGAATACCTGCCAACAACATGCCAGTCACAACACACTGTTTGAAAGATAAAGAGAGGCATTAAAGAGTAAGTGGTTCTGAAGCAAACAAAAAGGCATGTGCAAACAAAATGTTTCTGGCTACCTGCATCAGAAGAGTCTTGCAAATTTTAACGTGCTGGTGGAAAAACCTGACCTTATAGTTTATTTAAAAGATGAGACCTTTACTTTAGACAACAATAATCTTCAATAAATAATCAGCTCTAGCAGTGGTTAATTCCTGACAAAATGATAAAGAACTAGACTTGTACCATGCCAGGATGACTGATGGTACAAGCACTGATGAAACTAAATGAAGCCCCTTACACGTCTGCACTTCATTCCTTGTTGCTGGTGATGGTTATGCAAGAGGGACGTGACAGTCCTTGTGTGTTTACTTTAGGGGACTTCAGATATTAAAAAAAAAAGGTAAAATATGAAAATAATCAAAAGCTATGAACCGCAATCAGAGGTTTGCTTGGTGGGTACCTGGATTATTCTGCAGCACCTTGGATGTCTAGGTTCACAATAAATAAATAAATGCTAATTATTATTTAATTATGCACTGAATAGTGCATTTCATACTTTTGGTGAGGTCTAGATCAGAATGGAACAGGACGGGAAATGACAAAACACTTCAAGTGGGAAACACTTAACAACAGATTTTGCTCATCCTGGTCTTGGATATAAGTGAGAGAATGTATGGCCCAAGTAATCCTCCAGTGCAGGGCAAAAATATGAACCTCCTCAAAAACCACATGGCCAAAAATCTCCCATCTCTCATTGCCAGCATTCCCCACCTTCAGCACCGGCTGTGCTGATAGGTAACATGTTATTCGCTCATGAGCAGTTTCGTAGCCTTAGGATAACATGAATACAAAATTCACATCGTCATTTATAGAAAAACTACTTTTATCATTACAATATAGCAGGCAGAGCTCATAGTCTCACATGCACATGGTTAATTTAGCTCTGTATTGCAACAAAATCTCTTTATGTGATCCAGTGAAGCCTCCTGTCTCTCTCTAGATTCACTGGGATGTTTAAAACCAGGAAAAACCAAGGAGATTTTCCCATCTGTGTAATTTTCTGAGCTTCACATTTACATACAAAACAAGGAAGAAAACAGTTTCTAAGAAATCATGAGGAATTTCAGCCCCTTTTTCTCTAGATCATTTTAACTAGCTCAATTATCATGTCACATGAAAACCATCCCTGTGTTTTATTTTTACTGTGTTACGAGAAAATTAGGAGTCTTTCATTAAAAAATAAAGCCACTGTGTGCCCTGGATTTTAGTAAAATCTCTCTAATGAGACCTCAAATACAGAAAATATGATCCATTATATTTCAAAATGGAAAATAGTCTAATCCCAGGAAAAACTGAATTAAATTGAAAAGCAAATACCAACAACTACACGGTCTAGCAAAACTGAAAGCATAATTGCCATTAACTTCAGTTCATGTGCTATTCTTTGTCATGGCTTTGTTAGGAACTTGTTTGAATTTGAAATTTCTGAAGCAGTAAAGGCACACTCAAGCATGTGATCAAACACACCCAAAGGAAAACATTTTTAAAATGTACTGTTTCCAAACCCCTCAAATAGCTATGGATTCTTTTTCTATCATTAATGTACAACATTACACCTACTTAGGTCAGTATTAGAGTGAATTTTTATTTTTGGATAGCTTGGAATTCTGATTTCTCCATGGGAAAAGAAAAAAGCTGGAAGCAGCACCCAATACCAGTCTGCCTCTCTTCTAACAAACTGTGGAAGGAAGACATGGAGCACGGTCTTTGACCAGATGTGTGTCCTGGTACTAAAAGGTTCTACAGGAGAGACATTCTTGCTGGTCTCCCTCCCTCCATCCCCCAAACCCAGCAGAATCCTCCCATCAGTTCACTCATCACTACACCAACACTGCACAAACAGAGAGCATCGCTCTCCCGTCAGGTCCGTGGTCCTACACAAAACCCACAGGACTCAGACCTCGGGACTCCAAAGGATCTGCGCTCTGCCCACCTGGCTTTGAGCCAGAGTGGGGAGCCAGTGTGAGTGCAGAGGGGAATTCGTGCCCAAGCCCATCACATTCTGCGAGTCTGAGCCCCGGGAACGCGGGAGGAGCAGAGTGGCACACCCCAGAGCGGGGCTGGGGTCAGGCATGCGGGGACAGCCACCCACAGCAGGGAGCTCATGCACTTACCATTCGTGTAAGGGTTGACGGTCTTTTTATTTGTCATTACACGTGCTGTGGCATTATTTACCTAAGCACATAGAACAGGGGATTAGAAAGGGTTACGGGGAGGGCCCGTGTCACTATTAAACGCATGCATTATTACTGCTATTAGTCATGTGAAAATAAAATGCAATTTAATTTATAGAAGGCAACAGGTGCATAACAAAATCATACTATTTATAATTACATTTACTTTCATAACCATTTTAACTTACAAATCATTTCAATAAAGCAACGTCATATCATTTAAACTTTAATAAAAAGACATTAAAAGCAAATTAAAAGGTACTGCATAATTTAAGACTTAAGAGCATGCTTGTATTCCATGATAACACTGATACAATAAATACTCAAAACAGAAAAAAAAAAAAAAAAGATTATATGAAGGAACATGCAGTGGAGTAGAAAGGAAAGAGACAAGGTACAAGGAAACAAAGAAAATGTCAAAAAAGGGACAAACGAATTTTAGCAGTGTGCAACATAACCCTTTAGAAGAGAAGTACCATTGGAAAAGCAACATCTAGCATTCAACACTTGGAACAAGAGCCTTTTTCATTGCAAGAATTAACAAAATCATTCAAGCTTTAAAATCACAGCTAACAAAAGGATAAAAAGAGGGTGCATTATTTAACACAATATGGAGTTAACAATCTGAGTAAGATGTGCACGAAGTCATATCCTCAATCCAATCAGTGCCTCCCAGGCTTGCTTAAAACGTACACTCAATTACAGGCGTACCAATATATAGAAAAAAATGTAGCATCAAGAAAACTTAATACAACAAGTCAAAAAAATCCACGTGGTATATCAGCGCTAAATACGTGAAACGGCAGATGGACTTCTCCACTTACCATTCAGCACCATCGCCAGCATGGGTATGTATACAGTTACCATGGTTACTGAGAGTTTGGTGAGGGCCCTAAGCGCTACCGTCGAGGGGGGAAAATGAAAAGGCAAAATATGCAACATCTTACTCAAAAGACGACAGCATTTTCAATTGGTAATTCTTTTTTTTTTATTTTTTTTTAATTTTTGTTTTGTTTTGTTTTTAATCCTAACAAATACGACTGAGGCAGTGTTGAAGGGGATCCAGCGGCATGGCAAACATGGGTGGTGGTTTTTGGAGTGGGGGATGGCTCAGGCCACCCAGTCGAAAGAGCATCGTGGCTTCCTTAAAATTAAATGTGAAAATTGCTCGGTCTCTAGTCTGGCTTTGTTTCTTGTGCATCTTTTGGATGCTTCTTCCCCAATCAGAATTTTTTTGAAAGCCACTGTGGATCCCACATCAACCCTGCAGCAAAAAAAACCAAAAAAAAACAAAAAAAAGGAAAAAAATAAAGAAAACAAAAAAAAGAAAATAAAAAACAACAACCTTTTGTTTGTTTTTGTTTTGTCTGTCACACTTTTTTTTTTGTTGTTGTTCTCAATTTTTCTAATTTTTTTTTTTTTGTTGGCTGGTTTTTGGAATCTACTGCACCCATTGATTTACAAAACATCCAAAATAATAACTTCAAAATATTAAAGCTTTCTTTTCTTTTCAAATAGGTCATCCACCTTTCAGCAATAATGATAATAATAATAATAATAATAATTACAAAAGAAATAATAATAAAAAACCCAAGTAAGGCCAGATTCTCTCTCTTTATATATAAATATATATATAAACAATGGGAAGGGGAAAGGGGAGCACACAGAAGACACCAATGATGCATCTGAAACAACAAATGAGAGTGAAGCAGACATTTATAAAAAAGATGAAAAGGAAAATATTTTGAACATGCACCTCGATTTTACGGCCCTCTACCACGGTGCCGTGTAATTTCTCCCTCGCCCTGTCCGCATCAGCACTATTTTCGAAAGTTACGAAACCAAATCCCTGCATGCAGGAGGGAGAAGGGGGGAAAACAACATGCACATTATTATTTCAGTCAATGACCACTTCTTTGCTTATGTTCTCTCTCTTTAATTTAATATTTTCTTTGTCCTCGCTTCATTTCTGTAACATGCAAATTAGAAAAATTATAATTGTATTGAGATGTGCAATAAATAAGCAACAAATGTGAACAAATTTTTTTTCCTGTCATCAGTTAGAAAATACCCTCTGAGAAAGTCAAAGAATGATACCAAAAATACCTTTCTACATGTCACTACAGAGGAAAATAAATCTAACAATAAGAAAATGAAATTAAAATAAATTACAGTGTTTTCACATAGAATAAAATGAACTAATGAGAAAAGAAAATGAACCACATTTTAAAGACATGCAGATATCTCAACAAAATAAAAAACATGTGCACAAAATTCAACACTGAATGTCAATATACTCTAAACATTGCCTACTTAGTCATGCTGTTGTGATCATAAGAAACACTGTTCCCATGCAACACTAGGGTAACTTAAACTTTTGTCAAACTATACAGCCTTTACTTATTTTTTTATAAAAGGAAAAAAGAAAAAAAAAAGAAAACCACCAACAAAACAAAAGTACTTTCAGAACAAAGTATAAACTTTCTTGTATTAACAGATCAAAGAAAATTACATGATGTGAATAGAAAAAGAAATTCTGATAAAAGAAGAAAAATGCAAACGTTTTGAATAAGTTTAACTGCTTCATTTACTTGTTCTGCATATTATTTTCCACATATAGAACATGCAACTGGTAAAACTCCAGAACCCCACGTTAGTGGGATAAATCTGAAACTCTGCTTATGATAAACGCCCTCCTTTATAATACTAGGCTAAAACAAACATTGCAAATCCTACTAAAATGCCTTTTACACCCTAAGTCAAATTAAACACTGTTTAAAATGGCAAATATTTTGGAAAAATCTGAGAGTGAAGAACGTTTTAGTAACATACACCAACCCTTTGAAGTAATTCTTGCATTAGCACTACAATGCCTTTGCATGCCTCCCAAAGTTATCCAAAGAACCCTCCTCTACATCCCGAGCTTTCACACCGAGAGCCACTTGCAAGTCGCACGTGGTGTTTTGCACACAGGCAGTGCTCACAGAGATTAAGTGCTACTAAAACTGGGGGGGGGTTATTCCTATTTTAGCCTGGACTCTGTTCTGCTCCTGAGCAATCAGCCACTCACCACAGCTCCTCATCTCCCTTTGCTGAGTTTTGTCAATGTTCACCCATTTCCTCTCTGCAGGGCTGCCTATTACACAAAGTGACTGGTTTCAAAAAATAAAAAGGGGGGGGAAATAATAATAAAAAAATAAGGAAGACATTTCTACATTCATTTACACAAAGGGGAGACCAAATATCAAACTACGGCAAAACTGATGCCAAGGAGTGAGAAAAAGAATGGGTATGGACAACAGAACTAATTAACCAACTGAAAAAGTGAAATAACTCTCAGGATAATTCCCTGGGTTATTTGGGTTATTTCACCCACTCAAAGAACTCAGTTATTTATTCCCATTTATAATGCAAGAAGTGACATTTATGTACAGCAGTGGTCTCTGTTTCGTGCTCTCCAAAGCAGTTCAAGCACAGCTACTCTTTTTTCCCCGTATAAATCCAGCCCGAAGCCTGAGCTCCGAAGGGCTCTGTCAGCAGCTGCAGCTCCAGCTGAAGCCATGCTCACAACACCTGATTCCACACATTTTCTCCACACCACTCTCCACAATTTTAGCACAAGGCCACGACCTCACTTGCCACAAGACACTGAGGATGTAACTCTCTTTTTCCCAAAGCACCAGGAACGGTGAGAGAAAGTAAATCCCCCTCCTCTGCATTAATATCCATGGTTTAGATCCCTGGACAGGCTTTTCTTATACCTAAACCCATCCTCAACTTTAAACTTCTATTTCTTCTACAACTGTTTCTTCCCATCTTGTTAAAGCTCTATTAAAAAACCTCCTAATTCAGGATGCCAAAAAGAAAATTTCACAGCAGAAAACATCACTGGATCCATGGATCTAAGCGGGGTAGAACCATTCAGAGTATTCCATTCAGTAGCAGAAATTCCCCCAATTCTGTTTCTTCCTATTCTCTTGTCTGACCTATTGTCCCTTCTTGGAATTGCAAATATTTGGTGGGAGTTTAGCCAGAATTTTCTGTCACTCTCCTAAGTTCACAGTGCTACCAGTTAATTTTTGTTCAAACAGCTAAAGAGAAAGATAAAAACCCAATTATATTAAAATTTGAGAAAAACATACAAAGTGGAGCCACAAGCCAAGATAAGACAGGAACTTCAAAGATTCTGAAAATAATAATCACTGTAATTTTTTAATTTCTTATGTTGTACTTATCTCATAATCAACACTACTTAACTTAAGCTCTTACTATTTATGCAAATCTTTAACTTTACCTGGCTGACAGAGAAACTCAAGAACAAAACACAGATTCACCCATCACACATTCAAATACCTACACAAACACATTAACATCAATTTAATATGCAGCTGAGTTAACAGCTGCATTCTATTAACTGGTAATGCAAATATATGCATTCAATTTTTAAAATCTGTCAAGTGATTTAATAATAGTAAAGTTAGTATGTGAGAAGCTTCTGACTTAATTTGGGAGGCACTTTGGAGTTCTCCTTATTTGAAGAAACAGGAGTTAATGTAATATACACTAGATACACATTAATACAGACACGCATAAACAGATTTCTGAATGTATATATAGAGCTGTCTAGAGCGTTGATTTATAACTAATAGAAAATGGTCAAAAATTCAAAATTCATCACTGTATATTTTAGCCAAGCTTTCTTCATTATTATTATACATTCAAACAAGCAGAAATTTGTAGTGTGAAACTTTCATTGTTTTAGGGTTTTCTTTTATGGAAGGGCTCCATTCCGCAACATGATTTTATATTTTACAGTGGTGTTCTAATGTTATGTGTTTTTTGAATATGCAATTCCATTTTTTTTAACTATTATGGCATGAGAATGAGATTACTTCTGTTTGGATTTTTTCTTTTGCAACAATTGTTTAAAACATTAACTATTAGAATAAAAAGAAAGGAAAAGAAACACAAAGAAAAACATATTCTAGCAATTCTTATGCCAAACTGCAGCTAGAAACAAATTTGAATTCTGATCCTGCAAACTTTGTTACCTGTACTCAGTCTGAAACCACTTAGTAGTCCTTTCAGTTTCAGTGGGATTTTATGAAAACATAGATAAGCACTGCCAGGAATGGGACTTTAATCTGGTGCATCTTAATTCCTACAGAATGGAAAGAAAATGATCAGATTAAAAAAAAAAAAAGAAAAAAAAGAAAAAAAAAAGAAAAAGAAAGAACAGAAAAAAGATGTCCCTCTCATTCCTAATATTTCTTTTCCCTTAACTTTCTAATTAATTGAGAGAATCTAAAGGTACTTCTACAAACTGAAATATTGTATAGCTATAGCTGCAGTAACTGAGCAAGGTGAGAAGCACAGCCCTGCCCTGGAGACAGCTGGGCTGCAGCCCTGAAGGTGCAGGAGTGTTTAGTGACAACAGTCTGACCTGACCAAGTGAGGCAGGGATGTTACAAACCCAGCCAGGAAAACCTTTTCCTTCTGAAATCCTTTCTAGGATCTTGCCTTCAGCACAAGGCACTGGGATGTTTTCACACTGCAAAGCTCAGTTTGGAACCACCTCCTTATGCCATCCCCAGAAGTTTAACAAAACCCTACACTCATGCAGCCCAGTGCAGGTGTGGAGGTTAAAATGCCCACCTGGGGAAGATTTAGTGGCTTTTAAGTTTAAACTTTAAAGGCTTTTTTAGTTTAAACTCCTCCCACATGTGCTCAGCTCCACAGCAGAGGGGGATGGCTCTGGAAATTGATGGGATTATGCAGCAGGTCTGGGCAATCCATGTCTTTTGCAAACATTATTGAACAGCCATAGTTTAACAATAATAAACTTTGGCCAGAGTAGGACATACTAAGCCACCAAATTCCATCAATTTTAGTTGTTTACAGAAAAAGTGATGAGAATGTTCCAACTGAGTTTAGGCTGGCAGGCAAGGGGACTAATTAATGTCTGAACAATAAGCCAGGAGATTTCAGCTGTTCCATTTGGATTTTTTTTTAAAAAAAAGTGAAGACTTTAATTTCAGAAAATAAATATTAACAGAATTAAAATATATCTGATTTAAGATAGATTTCTGATATATATGATTCTTAAAATATGGCAGGTTACAGTAAGTCTAGCACAGGGATTACATTCCATCGCTAATAATAAATGATATATGAGTTACAGGAAGTTTGAAACATTAGTGAATAAACTTTTTAGTGTGTCTGACATGGCAAGAAAAGGAAAAAAGATATGCATGTGACAGACATAAACCCCTATAATGCAGCTGATATCACAGGTGAACACACTGGGCTACGGTTTTGCACCAGCTCACGCTGATGCAGTCCTGGACACTCTATCCTGCTTTATTTCATAAATACTGAATAAAGTGAAGTATGCATTCAAGGCAAAGTAATTTTGGAAAAAAAAATATTAAAAGTTTATAGTACAATATGAAATATATTAATAAAATAAATGCTGAAATAGATTGTTTTCAAAGGGTTGGTGTACTAAGGCTTTAACTAAAGAGGAAAACATCTGCACTTAATCTGGAACAATCACATATTTTGTCAGCTAATTACTAAAGAGGATAGTTATTAGGTATCATTATCATCTTGCATTTCAATAAAGGAAAAAAATACCTGTACTAGTACAAACCTGCCTATAAATATCTTTAACTATGGACTCATCTTATAAAATAAATGAAATAATTACCCTTGAAGAATAAGGACAGTGAAAATCAACATTCCCATATAACAGATGACAGTTTGGAGTAGTTAAAATTACCCCCTTTAAAAGATATGAGTCCAATGATTTTCATACTGCTTAGAAAACTGACTGACAGCTCAGAAGATGTTTTCACTAACATAAAATTTCAGACATTATTTTGTCACAGCAGTGCAGTTGTTTCCTTTTACTCATACATTTTAAACAAAACAAAAAATTCCACAGGTGAATTAAACTGCTTACCTTTGAGCCTCGCTCATTAAAAATAATTTCAACATCTAAGATTTTACCAAATTGCTGCAAAGAAACAGAAAAAGTTACATGAAAATAAAATAACTTCAACCCTTCTATCATATGCAGTACAAATGCTTGTTTCAGGAAATGGTGCAATGCTTTAAAAATGTTAAACATAAAACCAAATATTGTCAAACACAGAAAAAGACAACACTTAAAGGAGTCAGATCAATATTATTTCTAAATTGTGTGCATCATTATGCTCATTACAATCACTCCACAGAGGAACTTGGAGGTCAGTGAAGCACCTGACAGCACAGTGAAGTAAAAGTCCCAAATTTCTGCATTTTCCAGAACAGGTGAAGGAGTTTGGTTTCCTCTGCATTACAGGAATAAGATGAAACCAGGTGGGAGTTCTGATGCTGCCTTCAGGGACTGAGGATTTCTTTCCACCCTTGCTGAAATGGGTAACCATTATTCCCTAAGAAGTTTTGTTTTACTGGAGCATAACTAGAAATGGAAAACTAGAAGGATACTCTGTATATCTATCTCTCTCTCTATATATATATATTAGAAGGATTTTGGGGGGATTTTTTTCTCCTACTGTGTTAGGTAGGATATGATGCAGACCTGCCATATTTCATATGAAATATTTCAACTCAAACATGCAGAAATTTCATTTTTTTTATCATTTCAGAAGCTAAAAGTTTTCTGTTACATTCTGGAAGTCAGCTGGAAACTCCAGCCATTCTCCAGTGTCATTCTTTTGAGACCTAAGACTTAGAAATAATAAAAAGAAATGTGTTCATTAATTTATAAATTACTACAATACCTTACAAAAAAAAAAGTCATCCTTTCATTTAATGTTTTTTCAAGCAAATCCTATTTTAAGTGGTTTGTTTAGTTTAAATAAATTAGCATCTTTTTTCTCTGGAGGGTTAATTATTCTGCCTTCTGCTATTCTGCTGATGAGCTGGAAGCTGTGTTCAGGGGAGGAAACTTGTACCAAGGCAGATCCAGCAGAACAGTCACTCATTTCCCAGTACTGCACCAGGATTCTTTTCCCAGTGACTGTTTCCTTCAGAGAAATAAATACTGAGGAACACCATCTTTTGACTCACACACAAACAGATTAGAAGAACTTAAAAATCGGAGCTGAACATGAAAGAAGTCCAGAGCCACGAGGCACTTGGTGCTGCCCTGAATAACCAGCTGTAATGCAGGAGAGAGTTTGGGTTTAGTGAGGCAGAATAAAGACAGTGAGAGCAGCATAAATACTTCAGAGTCAGGACTTGGATTCTAATAGATGTTTTTTTATATAATAGATGATTTTTTAAAATCTATTTCTAGATTAGGTTTAGTGGCATTTCAAACAAACTTCAGCGAGTAGAAACCCAGTCTAAGCTCTCTTGTTTATAATCCTATTAATGATGGCATGTCCAGAGCCTGTGTGAAACACTGGGGATGTGCTTGAAGGCAACTGTGGCCTGGGGGAAAAGCACAAACTGAGAGATTTACAGAAAAAAACATTAACAAAAACCTTCAAAGCTTACAGACCTACAGAACCTGCGGAGATAGGTGAGGATTCCCGTGTCTGAACTTTGTGCTGAAATTCAGCCCGTGCCTTCCTTTTTGGGTGCCTCACTCAGGAGGTCAGGCACTGACTGTTTAACATCGCCCTCCAAAATCAATAAATGCAGGCAGATAAATCTAGGTGTGTGCAGCAGCAATATGTAGGCATTTAAACCAACACAGGCAGCTTTCTGTGAATGTAGTACAAAGCACCCAAGTGCATCACATCCAGCAAAATCAGTGTCATTTCTTTTCCTAGTTGTGACTGGCAAATCAGATGTTTGATTATACATAGATTAAAGGGGAATATTTCGGGGAAATGGTTGAACAGCCTCAATCAGAGCTACAGTCCTCACAGCTGCCTATAATACAAAACACCTATTGCAGTGCAAATGTAAAAAAAAAAAAGCAGAAATAAACGATGAGCACTTACACCAAACATTTGTCTAAGATCTGGATCCCGGAATCTGAATGGTATATTTGAGACGTGGAGCCGTTTTGGCTGTGATTTGTTTTCTGTGTTTTCAGAAGATTGTGTCTGTTGCTGGCCATCGGTCTGTGCTGCATCATCTGTCTGCTAAAAGGGTAAAGAAAAATAAAGCACACTGTAAGTATTTCTAGCATTTTTAATACAAGGGGGTGGGCTTAAATTCTCAAAAAAAAAACAAAAACAAAACAAAACCAACAAACTAAAAAGCAGTTAAGTTTCCTCCAAAGCAGTGAGGAATACCAGAAGTTTAAATTCATGAAAATCAAATCCATTTCTGTATCTGTCTCAACAGCATACATTTTCAGTGAAAACATGTAACTGGAGAATAAGTAGATTATTATTTGTAGATTTGCTTAGCCATTCTTAATTAAAGAATGAGTATATCTCTCTATAAGAGTGTAGAAACTGCTTTAACCTCTTGTGTGTTGGCCAAGGTAAGGAAGTGAATCCGCACTCCAAATGCTGCCTGCTCACAGAGCAAGGCAGACACTCTGAAATCAGATTAGTGCTTTCATTCAGAGGCCACAGGGATTCTCCAGAGCAGGCAGGTCACACATCTCATCCTCGCTGCTGTTTCACAAGCAGTGCTGATGGGCACGGAGGGTCATTCTGTCCAGATAAATGGTGGTCATTATGGAAAAGGCCTTGAGTTGTGCGAGGGAACAGAGGTTTAATCAGTGCTGAAGGTTTCCTGACAGAAGTGTGAGACCCAGAAACAAAGTTTTACAGATTGTCTTCCTCGCCAAAATGAGGTTATGTCGTGGTACTTCTTACAGGGACAGCGTTCCCTGGTTTTGAAACTCTGGTTTAAAACTGAAGGACATTGCCATGTGGTATGATTTAACAAATTATAAATCCACAGTGAGATGAGGAAAAGAACATAAAATGCCACTCATCCAGAAAGTAAAATTAACCAATGCTGGTCCATCAGTATGTTATAGAAATTACTCATCTCTGTACTTTAATTATATCCTACACTGCCTAATTAATTGCTGCTTGTACAGCACACAGTCATTCGACAAGGTTCTGCATGGGTATGTTAAAACAGCACAGTCACAGTTGTTTGCATGGGCAGAGGGGTTTGGAGGAATAGAAGGGGAAAGAAAACAGCTGAATGAAAAACTACAAGGATGACCTGACAGCCATCACTCCCTTTGCTCTGTCTTTCCTCTTCTGACACCGCTCTTTTCCTAAGTATTCATCCTTCTCTTGTGTGCTAATGTTACATTCAGTTTGTCTTTCTGACTTTTTTCATTTAAACAACAAAAAGAAGAAATTGCCCATTTCTTGCTAGTATGAAATTTCTTTTAGGAGACAACAGTTTAAGCAACATAAAAATGGTTAAATAAAACAAACCTTACCACACAGTTTTAGTACCAACAAGCCTGTTGAAGAGGAAACGAAAGAACTCAAACAGAACACATCATTTACATCAGCAATAACTACATATAAATTGAATTCTAGCAACAATATCCTCCCTAGGGAATATAAATGTTCTCAAATTAAAAGTACTAACATCTATATTGCCTATACTTCTGTTCTTAGAACACTCTATAAACAAAGGTCCTCATTTCTGCAGCAGCATCACTGCATCCGTAGCATCTCTGATATTTCACAGGATACAATGAGACTCACACAAATACAAACTTTTGTGTGCACTGAAGAAAGATTTACAAGTGATCCAAACAAATAATGGGATCAGATCAAGTATAAACCTAAAACTGAGTCAGTGCCATCACATCTCTTCATCTGCTACTCCCTGAACTCACAGGCCCACAAAGTAAATAATTTATCTTTATGAATATTTAGTGATTTAAATAGAAAATATGGTACATAGCTGTCAAGAGACAAAAATGTTCCATGCTAATCTATTGTTATCTAAAATCAACTCAAAAATTCAAAATTTAGATTTTGAGGAGCTGTTTCACCCAGAGACACCACAGGGATTATTTTTACCTTCAGGCATAAAAGGAGAGAAATACAAAAGAAATTTGGTCTGAGAGAGCAGTTGGGGGATGACAGACTGGAATTTGAAATACAACACTCCAGAAGAATTTGAGGTCAATTAGGTTAATCTGAAGAGAACTAAAGAATCCTGAAGGTGCTGTTTAGCCTCAAGAAGAGAGGGTGCCCCAGGAAGGAATTATATAATCAGCATCCTGTATAAATGTAAATGGGAAAGAGCAATCTCTGTTCATTTTATTCATAGAAATGAGGAGTAGAAGGGCTGAACTGTGCACCACAAACATCCAAAAACACTGGGAGCAATTGCCCTGCTAAGCAGCTGAACAGATTATGGTCAACAACACCCAGTGAGGTTTCTGAAGGTGGTGTTAAAGCAGAGCTACAAATTATGGGTGAAGAGGATAAATCCAGGTTCTGCTGGTACCAACCAACTTTAGTTGGTTTCACTGCTTTTTAAAATCATTTTTATTCTAAGAAGCCTCAAATTTACACTCTCAGCACAGAATGTCTCAGAGTCTGGGCAGCAAGGGCTGAAAACCAGGAACTTCAGCAAGTCTCTGTCATCAACAATTCATAACTGTCCATGACCCTCGAGATCCCCGGGGCAGAATTAACTGGGCTAAACCATTTAGAACATATTAAAAGGCTTGGCAGTGTAACAGGCTCTTTACAAAGCACATTATCATCCAGAAATCCACTGTGTGCCTGGGAGATCTGGACAAGGATAACCACAAATTGAAATGGGAATGTGAAGATTATGCAAAAACTTTCAAGTAACACCAAGGAGGTAAAACACACAGGGGGCAGAGGACAGGCTGGGTTTTGAAAAATCCCAGCCAGGCAACTTTCAGAGCTCTGTGGACTCACAGAACCAGAATGTAATTTACCTCACACATACATAATGCATTTCAGGAGAATACCTTCACTGCTAGAGGACCTGAAGAGTGGTGTTTGAAAGTTCTTTAAAAATTAATTGATGTTAGGATATGGCATTATCCTTCCTCCAGCCCTGCATACAATCAGGCTGCTTCTGGCCCCTCTTCCACCACATAGTTACAATTATAAAATATTAAAGATTCTTAATATATGATAGTCTTAAAACTTATAATGAAAGTTATAAATACAGAATGTAGAAATAGAAAATCAAATTCTCACTCACAGCAAAACAAATTGAGGTGAGCTCCCTTTACTTCAGTGAGCCACTGAAGGCTTACATATTAAAATAAATTAGAATTGAAATATTCTTACAGGTAAGAAAACCCATATCAAAGAGGGCATTTCAGAAAAATATTTCTTTTTTTCATAAGAGATAATTTCAGTATAAACATTTGGTATCCTTTTAAACCAAATTCATCATCAGGAGAGTTAATATCTACTGTTTCTTAAAGAAATTCTTTACCTTTAGCAATTTTTTTTTACTTTTTGTTCCCTTAACTCAGTTCTAGAAACAGAAAGCTTCTACTCTGTAAAAGACTTCACTCAAGATCTTAAGGACTTCACACTGAAGTAAAATTGTTGCAAGTAATTTTTCTGGTTTCCCTTGCTAGCTTTTCCCTGAGAATTTAAGAAACAAAAATTATACAAGCACAGAAAACCACTAAACCAAATATTTTCTTGGATAAAATAAATTTGACGATTTTTTATTTGGAAAAAATACTAACTCCATCCCACACACAGCTCTTTCTTCAAGGCCATTTTAATCCAAATTTGCATCAATTTTCACTCAAAAACACATTCTAAAACCTTCAGGCAGCCTCTAATGCAACCCCATTTCCCAGCTGACTCCTGACTGGACACTGGAGTCTCATCTCCCACCTGCAGCACTTGTGGCAAAGGCACCACACAATAAAGAAAACAAGAAAACACAATAAAACAATGGGCAGTGAACCTGAGATCAGTGAGGGCTTTGTGCACTTTGCTTGGGTAAAAAATCCCCATTCCATTCTCCTTCCTGGCTCACACAAATTTTCTGTGTCCCCTTCCATCCATCACTGCAGCCAGCCAGCCCTAGAATGTTTCTTACCCTGGAACTGTGTTTTACTTCCCCTCCATTCTTTTTCACTAATATCTTTCATTTCCTGCAAAACAGAGATGGTGTGCACAGAATCTTTCACCCTCAAATCCTGTTTCCAACACAAAGAAATGCAGTCCCAGAAGAGTTGTTTGCACACCACTAAGAGAACGCTGTTCCCAACCCCAGCTTTTAAAGACTGAATGGAACATAGACCGTAGGAATGCCTGAAATGGAACTAAACCTTTTATCTCTTTCTGGACAAAGTGAAAATAAGTAGTATTGGAACATGAGGAAGCTTTTCCAAGTCCTGATCATTCTGCTATAATCTGTAAACAAACACAAATCTGTTGCATATCTTTTAAACCCACACCAAGTCTAGAGGAAGAACAGCCTAATTCTAGCAGGAATAACCTCTAAAATATTTACAGGGTGAAAAGAAAGAGGAAAAAAAAGTGGAGCAGATTATTTTTTTAACATATGATAAATGGTAAATTAGGTGCTGAGTATCTCATGTATACATGCCAGCATAGGGTAAAGCTCCTCAGAATTTCAAATCTAGCAAAAAACAAAGCACCCTTTGAATTTTTTAATAAATGCTCCAAACAGCACCTGTTTTTTCCTGCTGCACCAATCAAGTTATTTCTCAGAGAGAAAGAGCTTGTGAATGTCTTCTAGGCATTATTTGATTAAGTTGACAATATTATGTGAGCAATGGTTGGGTACCCACTGTGCTGTACTTTTGACCAAATTGATTTGTGTAATGAACACTTGCTCTGTCTCTTCCCCAGCCTGAACAGGGCTCTTGATTTAACTGGTGGTGCTGGAAGCCAAGTGAATTTACAGCCCCCACAGTCATTCTCTCTCAATCTGGAGAGAATAGCAGCAGCAGTACATGAGCAAGCATAATTCAATACATTGTGCTATAAGCGCAGAAAATAATATCAGAGCTCTGCAATATACCTGTTTGATTTGATTTGTAAACCTGATAAAAAAAGCAATCGAGAAAAGTTCAGCAGAAAAAATATATATACGTCCTGAGCAAAAATATAACCATGCCCAATGTGTACAAACTGAAAAAATCATGCATAGTAAATCATCTTCATACTTC